GCTGGGCTCAGAAAAGGGCAGAACGTGGGCCCTGGAGATTTTCTTGATGGGTTCTCACACATTTTGGTCACGGGAGCCCTTTATGCTCCCCAAGGGGATTTTATTTATGTAGGATCCCCAAGGGATCCTACATAAATAAATAAATTTAAATAATAAATCCAAGGGGATTTTATTTATGTAAGGATCCCCAAGGGGATTTTATTTATGTAGGTCATATCGATTGATATACTGTCTTAGAAGTTAAAACAGAAATTTTAAAGCGATCATTAAAAATAACCACAGCAAATCCATTACAGGATAGCATACTTCTTGAAAGCTAGCTATTTACCAAAGTTTCAATAATGAGTGGTAAAGAATGGCCTTGCTTTATAAGTCTATCCAGCCTCTGTAGTGTCCAGCTTAATAGAAGGCAGCAGGGTTTTGTGTCTGCTTCCTACATGGTCTGCTCTGCTGTTTGGTTGACTATAGGAAGACTTAGGCCAGCATTCTGCTTACACCCTTCTCCATGCCCCCACCCCACACACCTGTAGATGGAAAGGGAAGGCCTTGCAGATGTCCTGACTCCCAGGGGTCTTTGGTCTACTCTCTGGGAACTGTTCCTGTCCAATAGCCCCATTTTACAGATAGGGAGACTGAGGCCTCACTAGGTTTAGCCAGTCCCAGAGATATGCACTGGTTACCATGTGCTTCCAGCCCAGCCCCCATCCACAAGCAACTCAAGGTGAAGGAACCCAGGTGTGTGGCAGGAGGGAGCCCCCTGAGCAGTGCCGGCTGGGGGACCCAGCCAGACCAGAGCAGGCTGCTGTGGGTGGCATTCTTGGGGTGGGGTGTTGTGCAGAGAGAAGTACGGAGCAGGCTCTGGGGGGCATGCAGGAGCGGGTGTCATTCCCAGCTTGGGCATGTGGTGAACAGGCTCTTAGAGGTGGGTGGGGTATTGGTGGAGATGGCACTACGTGAATAGAAGCTGGAGGCAGGCCAGGCACCGTGTCATCTGTGGGAGCCTGCACGTTGTCCTTGAGGGATGGACAGCAAGGAGCACTGGTTACACAGCAGCCCTCCCCACTCGGGGTTGCTACGCGACTTCAGGTCTCAAGAAGAGATGGAAAGACGATACCAGGCAGTGGTGTTCCTGGCAGGAGCTTTGTGGGGAGCCCTCGGCACCTACAAACCTCGCCCTGTCTCTGTTGTTCAGGTCTCACCTGTCCTCAAAGGGGGCAGGACGCAGGGCACCTGTAGACATAGCCAGGGGTGGAACTAGATCTCCAGCCCAGGGCAGGGGACCTCACTGGGTCCCAGAGGGACACCTAGTGTCTGCACCCTTGTTCTTGGCAGTTCTCTGTTTCTCCTTTTCCTGGAGATCAAGTGGCCACAGCTGGGTTCTGGGGTTCCATATGGCCGCTCCCCCAGGCCTACAAAGTATGACAGATAATTAAGAAACCTGGCTGAGGCCTGACCCAGGCCCACTTTCCTGCCAGGAGGAGCCAAGGACCCCTCTTGGCAGGGGAAGACAGGGTGTCCCCATCCATAGACCCATGTCTTTGGGTGACTCCGAGGTATGTTGTGTGTGGTTTAGTGATCCTGCATGGGATAGCTCCTTGTGAAGGAGATGGGTGGTGCCCGAAGCAAGAAAGAGGCAAGAACAGAGTGCAGGAGTAGGGGGGTTTCTTTCAGTGGGAACAGAGTAGCTGGCAGTGGCAGAGATCAGCCTGGATTGTGTCCTTGAGCAAGCTGACTAGGGTATGGAAGAAAGTACTGAGCTTCATGGGCTGTCACAAAGGCCAACACCTGTCCTCTTAGGATTTCCTATCAGTCACTGTTCTGATCTCTTATCTGGACAGGGACAGTCCCTGTGGGACAGGGAGGAACTGAGATGAGCTGTCCAGGTGCCTTTATGTCAGGGACTTCTGGCTAGGAATCTAAACTATGACCCTGGGAAGGGTCTTGCTTGGATGTCCCTAGGTCTGAGACTTGGTGTCTGTGGGTCTGGGGATATCTGGAGTTCAAGAGGTTTCCTCACCTTGCTGTGTCCCTGGCTGTGTGATTTGGTGGGTGAAGCTTTGAAGAAGCATCTGGGCCATTGTCCTGCTCAGAAACCGTAGCTGTCCCTAACCTGGGCAACTCGTCATTTCAAGATCCAGTTACCCGAGCACAGCCACGCACCTAGGATTCCCTCAGGTTACCCTGGCTGGCTCACAGCCTTGGGCTGTTTCTTCCGCAGAGCTTGCTGGACTATTCCCAGAACCCTAGTGTACCCCATGGCTCCACACCAGCCCAGGCACTCACAATGGGGAGGGCCCCAAGAAAACACCAATAACCCTTTGCTGGGTGGGCTCTTGGACCTATGGGGGAACAGGTGGCAGAACAGTGGGGAATCCAAGCCTTCAGGGTGCTGATCAAAGCCTGGAGCCCCATCTTGGAGGTGGGAGACCAGGGTCCAGTCTTGGTGAGTGGCCTTAGGGCAGTTTGTGGCCTTGTCTGGGCTCAGCCTGCCCATGGGCACAGCAGGATCCTGCATGGGGAAATGGGCACCCTGTGACCCTGTCAGGGTAACCTCAGGTTGCACTCCTGGTCTCCACAGCCTGCCAGTCATTGATGGAGGAGTCTAGGGGCTTCCTGGAGGAGGGGACTGGAGGTAGAATTGATTCTCACCACAGTTCTCTGGCTTCACAGAGGCCTTTGATCTCTACCAGAGGACTTAGGGCACCTGGGGACCATGTGTGCCATGACCTTGATTTGGGAATTGTCCTTATCTCCTCCTTTGCTCCATGGGGCAGGTTTATGACTGGAGACCTGAGCAAGAGGCCTCTGCTGGGCCACAGGCATTAACTCTCTGTGGCCCTGGACTCTCAGAGAAGGGGACACAGGCCCAGGGCAATGCCAAGACCACAGAGGGCTGACAGGCACTGAGGCCCAGGAGTCTAGGGTCTCACTGCTGACAGAGGCCAGGTCTCCTGATCTCTTCCCACTCCCTAGCTTCTGGCTCCATGGGTGCAATCCTGGGGCTTAGGGAGCCCAGATGAAGAGGCTGGCACTAGAGCACCTGCCATTCTGTTACCTGCTGGGGACCTTGGCCAGTCTCCCTGCTTGCCATCTGGAAAGGGGAGGTGACCATACCTCCAGGGGCCACGGAGCAGGAACTGCAGAGTCCTGTGCCCCAGGTGGTCTTTCTGGCTATTGTCCTGCTGGGAGGGCCCACTTTGCAGAGGAAAGAGGCCTTGTTTTTAGGATGTATTTTTAAACAGGAGCCTGTGCTACCCAGTAGAAAGTCCTCCTGACCAGAAGGAACCCAGGTGAATGGGCTACAGAGCAGTGTTTTCCTGGCCTGAAACCACAGGGGTGGTGTGGCTTTGAACTACAGGTTACATGCAGGGGGCTTCCTGGCTGTGGGATGCAGGGAGCAGGAACCAGGGGCCAGGGGCCAGGCTCAGGGACCTCGTGTGCAGGGAAAGATGTAGAATTTGTCCTGAGGCTGTGGGACACTGCTAGAGGGTTTCCAGCAGAGGACCACGCGGTCATCTCTTTTAAAAATCCACCCTTGCTCTGGGTGAAGGAGAGATTGGAGTGGGGCTGGGGAGGCACACAGGGTGCACTCACCATAGTCTGCGAAGGCACGATTGTGCCCGGGCTAGGGAGGGCCACAGGGGCTACAGAGTTGGGCTGGCTGAGCAGGCACGGTGCTGGAGGAAAGGGTGAGCACTGGGTTGCAAGTTTCACTGCAACCCTGAAATAGGGACCTTCTGGAGGCCAAACAATGGAGGATCTCTGGCCAGCAGTGCCACAGCTGTGGGCAGCGTGAAGAGGGCATGTGAGCCATGAGTGGTGGAAGAGTGTCTGGCTCTGGCTGCAGGAAGTGTTCACAGCAGCCCTCTTGTCTCTTTCTGCCGCTGTCTTTTCCTTGAACTTGGCCACCAAGCCTCTCGGGGTCACTGTCTGTCTAGATCTGACCCCTCCTGTAGGCTGGCTCATTAGGTCTGAAATGATTACTGCTGTTTGTCCTCCATGGCCGCCAGGGTGACCTTTCTCCAGCAGGCCTCTAAAATGTCACACCCTTTCATGCCTCTGTGCTCTGTGCCCTGGTGAGCCCTCTGGCTCTCGCTTATCCTCTCAGCACCCCTACTTGTAGAATCCAGGGCGCTGAGTTTCCCGTAGCTGGCATCCCCTTGGAGCTCTGTAAAGGGCTGTTGAATGAGGCGTTGAGTCAGCCTCCTGCCACACGGTGGTGACAGGCCAGATGTCTGAACATCACATTCCTGAGCAAGTGTTAAGAAGAAGGGAAGGTGGCACTTATGTCAGGGACCTGGCAAAGGCCATGTCTTTGTCCTCTAGCCTGCTTTTACAGTGGTCTGGGAGAGGGGTGATACCCCCCCCCTTTTATGGAGGAGCAAATAGAGGTTTGCCAATGGGACATTCCTTGAGCTGATTCCCAAGCTGGCACAGGCTCTCCACCTGGAGAATAGTCAGCTGGGCAGGACGCAGCTGTAGGGAACAGTGGTGGGGGGATCCTGAGCCCAGATACATGGAGGTCCAGGGGGGATCATGGAGAACACCCTGATTGCCCCTTTCTCCACTGACCAGCTCCCTTTTCTCTGGCACTTTGCAACCTCAGACCAGCTGCGGAGGGCGGGTGAGTGCGCAGCCCCTCCGAGGCTGCTAGACCTGCTGGGTTGGCACTGCTCCCCTCTCCTGGTGCCCCACCCTTTTCCTGCTTGGGCTCCACACAGGCAGCAGTGGGGTCTCAGCTGCTTCTGGCCATGGCTGCTTGGAGTTTGTAGCTTATTGGGAAAGGAGCAACCTGGGCCCAAGCAGCAGTGTCTGGGCACTAGAGCCAGGTCTAGAGCCCGGATCTCTTAGCCCTGCTTGGGGCTGCTCTGCACAGCCTCCCTGGCCTGTGTCAGGCCTTTCCCTGGCATTTGGTACCCAGCCTCGCTTTTCCTTGCATGGCCATGCTGAGCTGAGCTGGGCATGGTAGTGGTGGCTCAAATGTCATGCACTCAGCCCTGGGTGGGGGGAGGGCAGGAACAAGTGGGGTCATCAACTTCCTGTATGGACCCATCTGTATTCCATCTCTCCAGGCCCCAGATGTCAACACATCCATCACCAATGACAGGCACGACCTGACCTTTTCAAGCTTGGGATGCGGGTGGAAGAGGGGATAGTAATCCTTGAGTGCTTCACCCTGCCCTGGTGGCAGGGCTAGGCCATGCTGTCCCCTCTGTGTAGGACCCTTGCTCACAACAGGAAGTCTTTCTTGTCCATGGCGGCCAACCTGCACTAGCAGAGGAGCTGAGCAGAGACAGCTTAAAGGCTTCAAAGGGCCTCTGACCCTATGCCTACTCCACTCAGGTGGCTGGCAGTGCCGTGTCCCCGGAGCATAGCGGTCACCTCTACCCTGGGGCGATACTTCAGAGATAGGACCCAGCCCCCAACCACAAATTCAAGTCCCTTTAGCTCTTTTATGGCTTGGTTCCCATTCCCTTACCAACCCAGTCTCCCCTCTGCACACAATCCATTTTATGAATTTTGCTTTAAAAGGATGGGATGCAGGGCTTAAGACAAAGGTGGGAGCCAGTATTTGAGGCGTACCTACTGTGTGCTGTGAATTTTAAAACATCTGTCCTCTTTATTCTTCACAAACATTTCCCATTTTACAGATAAGGAGAAGGAGATAGAGGCTTAAGGACCCTCCTCCCCTCCTCCCCTGCTCACCTCTCCTCCCTTCATTAACTGTCACTGAGCACCCAGGTGGAGCCAGACCAAAGCTGGCTGAAGACCTTGTCTTGGCTCCCAAGAGGCAGGGTTCTGCCCAAGTCCAGTCTACTCCAAAGCTGTGGACAGAGCCAGGTGGAGCCTCCCACATGGGAAGTAGTGAGCACCTATCCCTTGTTGCCTGCAGACGTACACAGGCTCCATCCTGGTGGCTGTAAACCCCTACCAGCTGCTCTCCATCTACTCACCAGAACACATCCGCCAGTACACCAACAAGAAGATTGGGGAGATGCCCCCCCACATCTTTGCCATTGCAGACAACTGCTACTTCAACATGAAACGCAACAGCCGGGACCAGTGCTGTATCATCAGGTGGGCGGTCCAGCACCAGTGTGGGAGCTCCAACTCCACAACCCTGCTAATCCCTCTAGGGACTTCTCCACTGTCAGAAAGGCCATGTCAGAAAGCTCATCAGGAGCCAGGCTGTGCACCCCATTCTGTGTCATAATGTAGGAATTGCCTCCTTTTTCCCAGGTCTTGTATCTCGATTAATGCTACCAAAACCTTGTGTTCACTTTTGAGGCCAACCTTGTTTACTGATGGCTCCTGTTAAGTTATGGTCAGCTGAAATCTCAGATTTCTGTTTTCTCTGGGGCAGAGGGTAAGAGGCCAGAGCACTGATGGAGCATGTGGCATGTGTCATGCTCAATGACAAGGATGAGAGGGCGATGCGTGTGAATGAAAAGATGAAGTTACCTGTGGCTGTGGCAGAGCTCTGGACTCCCAAGGAGCAAGACTGCCAGCCCATATTGCAGACAGTTCGCTGGTGGTGCAGCCTGGGCTGAGGCCTGTCCTGCCACCCCCGCCCTCTGCAGCGGAGAGTCCGGAGCAGGGAAGACAGAGAGCACGAAGCTGATCCTGCAGTTCCTGGCGGCCGTCAGCGGGCAGCACTCGTGGATCGAGCAGCAGGTCCTGGAGGCCACCCCCATCCTGGAAGGTAGGGCCAGGCTCTGAGGGCAGGCTGGGTGTTGGAGCTAAGGCTGACCTTGCCAGTGACCTCTTCCCCCACCCCCCACCTGCAGCATTTGGCAATGCCAAGACCATCCGCAATGACAACTCCAGCCGCTTTGGGAAGTACATTGACATCCACTTCAACAAGCGGGGTGCCATCGAGGGTGCCAAGATCCAGCAATATTTGCTAGAGAAGTCCCGAGTCTGTCGCCAGGTGACCACAGGCCCCAGGATGTGGGGCAGATGCATGGCAGATCCTGCCTCTGGTGGGTGGCACTGCTGTCCATGTGGCCCAGCCATCCCTCAAGTCCCTGTGCTGTCACCTGCTTGCCTGAATGCCCAAGGTCCCACTGTGCCACCTACTGGGTTTTTACCCATTCTCAGGCCCCTGATGAGAGGAACTATCACGTATTCTACTGCATGCTGGAAGGCATGAATGAGGAGCAGAAGAAGAAGCTTGGCCTGGGTCAGGCAGCCGACTACAACTACTTGGCCATGGTGAGGCCCAGGGTTGTGGTTTGAAGTGTCACCTATCCCAGTGAGATGGGGCAGGTCCAAATCTTGCCCACATAGCCTGCCCTGCTGTGGCCCAGTGGGTGGGCACATCTGCCTGTGCCTTCCCCTCCCCCTCCACACCCCTTGTCCTGCTTCAGGACAAGGGCTTGTCCGTGCCATAGGCCTGTCTTCCACCTGGCACAAGCCTGCTAACTACCCATCTTGTGAATTCTCAACACAGACACATGCTAAAGGTAGACGTTTGACACAGAGGCATACATGTCCATGTGTCCATGCACACAGAGTGCCCCCAACCCCAAGCTCTGGTTATTTTTGAGGCCATGAAGACTGGGGGGGAGGTGGCTGCTGAGGCTGCAGCCTCCATGGCTCACTGGTAGCAGGTTCTGGTGCTGGTGTCTTGCAGCGATCTGGCCTGGGAGGCCATCACTGCCCCAAAGCATTGTGGAGGGGATCTGGGGGCTGTGCACACAGCAGGCTGGCTTGGGGTGAACCATGTCTGCATCCTAGGGAGTCCCCAGCAGAGTTACAGGGATATAAGTGTGGGCTGTGGCACTTAAGGGGTTGTGTTGTGAGTGTGACAGACCTTCCTGTTTGGCACACTTGGACACACATAGCATGGAGCAACCCCCTAGCTGCAGTCCCTTCTCCCCCCTCCCCCCCCCCAACTAGGCAGTGTCTGGTGAGGGGCCAATGCCTCTGAGAGTGGTGTCTCCCAGGGAGCATGGTGGGGCCTTGGTGCTATGACTGGCAAGTGGCTGCCTGGCCTGGCATTAGGACCCGGTTCCTCTCACTCATGGGAAGAAGGGGCATCCAGGCCCCCAGACGTGGGAAATGAGCTCTAATATGCCCAGGGAGGAGCTTTCAAGACCCTCCAAAGTCTTCATGCTCACATGGAGAGGTCAGCACATGGAGCCCCAGCTAGCCTGGCACAAAAGACCCTTCCGCCAGGTGCCGCCTCTCAGGATGCCCCACTCTCCAGCTCCCCACTCTTCCCCCTGCCCCTCAGGGTAACTGCATAACCTGCGAGGGCCGGGTGGACAGCCAGGAGTACGCCAACATCCGTTCTGCCATGAAGGTGCTCATGTTCACTGACACAGAGAACTGGGAGATCTCCAAGCTCCTGGCTGCCATCTTGCACATGGGCAACCTACAGTACGAGGGTGAGGCTGGTGGTGCCCCAATGCCAGGGCAGTGCGACACCTAGCTGTCTATGGAGGCTGGCAGGGTGGTGTCAGTCCCAGCAGGTAGCCCCTGAGATGGAGAGGTAGAATGCAGAGGTCAGCTGGCCTGATGTCAGCCTCAGGGATGGTGTCATTGTGTGCCATCTTACCACAGAGTTGGATGTATGCTGGGTTCTGGGAGCTGACTGGGCCCTTTAAGACCCCTTCCACATTTGGCTTCCTTTTTTTTTTTGTTGGTGGTGGTACTGGTGCTCTTTCCTTGGTGTCCATCATGAGCTCTGGGCAGAGTAGGGACGCTGGGAAATTCCCAGTGAATGAATGACCCACCAGAGCTGGGAGTGTGGGGTGGAGGTTGAAGGAGAGGGGCACCTGCCAGTGTGTGCTGCTCAGATGCAAGGCATGGCATCTGGTCCTGGTGTATTGGGTCCCTACCCTCGTAGTGCCCGTAGGCGCTTGTAAGAATGTTAACCAGCTGTACATTGACCTGGGGAACCACTTAATCATAGTCCCGATGGCCTCTGTGGATAAGGCAGGTCCCTGAGGGCGGGCATGGCAGCCTGGTCCTCCTAGGACTATGCCTGCCCACGCCCCTCTGCCGACCCTCCCTATCCGACACTGCGTTCCCTGTTGCTGGCAGCCCGCACATTTGAAAACCTGGACGCCTGTGAGGTCCTCTTCTCCCATCCCTGGCCACAGCTGCATCTCTGCTTGAGGTCAGTGCTGGCCGTCTGTCCCCACCCCTGTGTCCATCCCTTGGGGATGGTGCTGACTTCTGGATCAGTGGGGGTGATGTGGGGACCAGGCTGCTGGGAGAGTTATGTTCAATATCAGAACCGGCTGTGTGCAGGCCATGTGCTGGAGGGCACTCTGCCTTAAAGGGGGTGCTGTGCTGAAGGGGGCCCTGTGCTAGGTCACTCTGAGCTGGGCAGGCTCTGTGCTGTGTAGGAGGCTCTGTAAAGGTGGGCTCTGTGATGGGGGGACTCTGCAATGGGTGGGCCCTGTGCAGGGATCCATCTTGGAGGAGCAGAGTCCAGAGCTTGGGGGCCTCACTGGCCTTAGTTGCCCAGCTGCCCTTGGATGGCATGGGATGGGGAGGCCTGGCTGGGGCCCTGTAATATTCTGGGCTCTGTGACCCTGGGTGAATCTTTCCTGCCCTCAAGGCCTCAGTGTATACAATTGATTGAAGGGCACTGGTGTCCACATGTCAAGTTGTCAAGTCTGTCAGGCCAGTCCTGGGAGGGACAGGTACCATGCTCATGGAGTTAGGAGGGTAGTGAGGACAGCATTGGTTCTAGATAGCACCTGGATGGCTTCTGAGAATGGGGAGGATTTGGCTGTGGTGGGAAAGGTGGGTCTCTGTGGAGGGCATAGCCTGAGCCAGGCCTGGATGGAGGGGAGGAGGGCAGGTTGGATGAACTCCTGGGTGTCTGTACTCTCAGGTGAATCCCCCAGATCTGATGAGCTGCCTGACCAGCCGCACCCTCATCACCCGTGGGGAGACGGTGTCCACCCCACTTAGCAGAGAGCAGGCGCTGGATGTGCGTGACGCTTTTGTCAAGGTGGGTCATTGTGGAGTGACCACCTTGCTTTTGCTGCCCCCTTGGGAGCTTGGATTGTTGATGGACAGGTGCAAGGTGTCCCTCGAGCTAGACCCCACCCTTGGCTAGGGTCCAGGCTGCTGCCCCTCACTGTCTCTGAGGCCTGTGCACTATCTGCCCTCCCCTAAGCTTTGTGTGTCCACGCATCCCACAGGGGTCCATGCTGTTCTCTCCAGGGACCTGCCCTATGCTAGCCCCTCTGTTTCCTCAAACCTCATCTTGGACTGCTTGGATCTTCTGCTCCCAGCCAGGGACTCCCTCTTTGGTTTCTCTGCAGCTGACACAGAAGCAGACTGGGTTGGGTGGGAGCTCCCATACCTCCCTGTTTCTCCATTTATCACTCACTTAGTCCCATCTGTGCCAGCCCTTGAAGGGCTCTGAACTATCAAGTTATTTAGAGACGATGGGAAGATTTTGGAGGGTGGTCAATGGTGGCTCCTTTCCAACTGCTGACTCAGAAGGGGTGATACCCCTTTATTTATTTATTTATTTTTGTTGATCATTTGAAAAAAATGGAGATAGTGTATTGTAGTGATTAATGAGTGAAAGATTCAAGACTTCCTTTTCCCTTTTTATTAAGATTATAAAATATAGCCAGGTGCCGGTGGCTCACACCTGTAATCCTAGCTACTCAGGAAGCAGAGATCAGGAAGATCATGGTTCAAAGCCAGCTTGGGCAAATAGTTCGAGAGACCCTATCTCAAAAAATCCATCACAAAAAAGGGCTGGTGGAGCGACTCAAGTTGTAGGCCCTGAGTTCAAACCTCAGTACTGAAAAAAAAAAGAATTATAAAATATGAATAATGCAAGCATACAAATTAATAGAGAATGATCTAGCAAACACTTTTGTGCTTATTACTAAGATAAGACAAATGTAAACACTTTTCTTATGAAGCTTTAAGAGCACAAAAACAGATGAGTTAAAATGTTACTAAGACAGGTAAAGCCTCACTCTGTCCCTTCTCTGTCCCTCTCCTCTCCCCAGGGAGAACCATGTCCTGAAGTTGATTGTATATTGACCCTAAAATGTATGTCCATAAATAGCATACAGCAGAGCCTTGAAGCTGTTCAGGAATTGCTCAGGCAGAAGAGGGTGCTCCGGGAGCAGGAACAGCTGGAGAAAAGGCTTGGGGGGCGGGGTTCTAAGAGCCTATTGTGCCATAGAAGGGTGGGAGCTGGGCACGAAGGCTGCAGGAGCTCAGCCTTCTCCCAGGCCTGGTGGTTGATGGGCCATCTTTCAGGGCATCTATGGTCGCCTCTTGTGTGGATTGTGGATAAGATCAACGCCGCAATTTACAAGCCTCCCTCCCAGGAAGTGAAGAACACACGCCGGTCCATCGGCCTTCTGGACATCTTGGGTTCGAGAACTTTGCAGTGAACAGGTACCACATGGGGCACTACTGGGTAGAAATGTCGCATCTCTCCCTTTAAGCCACATTTAGCTGGCTCCAAGCACATTCCACCAGGCTGTTGGCTTCCGTCATCCTGGAGGTCCTGGTCCATCTCCTTCCCCTGCTCACTTCTCCCCTCCAGGGTCAGTGACACCAGCCTGGGGGCAGGTGGGGGAGGTCTTTGCCCTGTTCCAGACTTTTAGGAGGCCTATCTGGTCTCCAGGCCCCATGGCCATTGCTGCTCTGCCAGTGTCCAAGCTGCAGGGGGCATCAAATCAAGCAAGGCCTGAGTTCAGCTGCATTGCCTGGGTCTTAGCCTCCCTTGGGGACCTGTACCTGTTGGGGCCATGTGAGGGACCAACAAGAGGAGCAGGCACAAGGAGGGTCCTGGGGCTGGAGGTAGTCAGCCCTGGCCCTACTCCCTAGCTGTGTGACCCCAGGTAATCACTTTAATTCCTGCACTGTGAGACTGAGTCAGCAGTCAGGCTCTCTTGCTGGATCTTATCAGCCCCTTCCCTCTGCTTACCTTAGTGTCTATGGTCTTGACTCCTCCTCTCCCAGGTCCTGCAATGGGGCCTGGTCATTCAGGGAAAGGGTCCTGGACCCTGGCCTCCAGGATTCTTCTCCTCTGACTTCTCTGTGCGACCTGGGGCGAGTCCTTTTCCTCGCCGGGCCTTAGCATCCTTTTCTGAAGGTGGAAGGGTTGGACATGAGGCTAGGGTCTCATGAAGGGAGCCAGCCACTTGCTGTAGGCTGACGCTGAGTCAGGCCTGAGCAGCAGGGCAGGAGCCTGAACAAGACCCCCGCCATCCCCTGCGCCCCTCAGCTTCGAGCAGCTCTGTATCAACTTCGCCAACGAGCACCTGCAGCAGTTCTTCGTGCGGCATGTGTTCAAGCTGGAGCAGGAGGAGTATAACCTGGAGAGCATCGACTGGCTGCACATAGAGTTCACTGACAACCAGGACGCCCTGGACATGATCGCTAACAGGCCCATGAACATCATCTCCCTCATCGACGAGGAGAGCAAGTTCCCCAAGGTGGGCAGCTAGTGGGCAGGGGGCTCCCGGCACCACCTCCCACAGGCTGCGCAGTGGGCAGCCCGTTCCCACTCTTAAGTCTGGCCTTTCCCCATCTGCAAAGTGGCACGAATGCCAGTAACAACAGAGCTCTAAGTACACAGTGGTGCAGAATATGTGCTCAAATCACAGAATATGTCTTGAAGTGGGGGATTGCTCCCAGGAATTTTTGTTTTGTGTTTTTTTGTTTTTTTGGTTTTTTTGAGATGAGGTCTTGCTATGTAGCCCACCTGCCCCACTCTGCCAGTCCTGTTTTGTGTTGGGTATTTTCAAGATAAGCTGGCTTCAAACTGAGATCCTACTGATCTCTGTCCCCTGAGTAGCTAGGATTACAGGCTTGAACCACTGGTGCCCGGTTTACTCATAGGATTTTGATCGTGAGAAATGCTCTAGGGTTGGTGCAGTAGCTCAAATGGTAGAGTGCCTGCCTAGCAAGTGTGAGACCCTGAGTTCAAATGCCAGTTCCACCGCCACCAAAAAAAAAAAAAAAAATGATGCTCTAGACTGAATTGTGCCTTCCAGGTCACATAGCTCCGATTCACCCACTTATCAGATGAGGATGTGGAGGCCCAGAGAGCAGCTGTGCGGGTGTGATTGGGGGAGGGGTGTGAAAGCACAAGCAGGGGAGGCAGCAGGCCCTCTGCTCCCACAGGGCACAGATGCCACCATGCTACATAAACTGAACTCCCAGCACAAGGTCAACCCCAACTATGTGCCCCCCAAGAACAGCCATGAGACCCAGTTCGGCATCATCCACTTTGCAGGCGTTGTCTACTATGAGACTCAAGGTACAGTGGCGGTCGGGTGTCCCTGTGCCTCTGCCCCGCCCTTCCCATCTGCAGACAGAAGAAACTGCAGGGTCTGAGCGCAGAGGGGAGGGGAGGGGCCTGAGGAAATGGGGGATGCTCAGTGCTCTTCTTGTGCTTTTCCAGAGGATTTTAAAATTATTTTTTGCAGTACTGGGGCTTAAACTCAGAAAAAAGTGCTCTACCACTGAAGCTTAAAACATACTTTTAAAACATTGTAGCAAAGTGTGTGTATATATATATATATATATATATATATATATATATAGTCATTTTCACCATTTTTAAGTGTACATTTGGGTGACATTAAGTACAATGTGTGACTGTCACCACCATCACCATCATCCACACAGGAGCTCTGCACCCATCATCCCCTCTCCCTCAGCCCTCACTGAGGGCATTCTACTTTCTTCCTCCCTCAATTTGACCATCTGGGTGCCTCACGTGGGAGGTCATATGGCATTTGCCTTTCTGTGGTTTTTTTTTTTTTTTCACTTAGTGTTATGTCTTCATACCAAGGTTCATTGGTATTGTGTGTAGCATGGCAATTTCCTTCCTTTTTATGTGTGAGTAATATTCCATCATATGGACACAAAACAGTTTGTTTATGTGCT